CTTGGTACCAGTTTTCCTTGGGCCCAGCTGGTCGTCAATAGGTAAGGCCCGCTTCTTCCTAAGGCTTCAGTATTAGAGAGAGCTAATTGATAATTCATTTGATCTAGCAGTCTATGTTTACAGCAGGGCCTGAATGCAATAACCACACTCAGTCTTTAAAAAATATTAATTAATAGTTAATAATAAGAACACACACACTGTCACACACACACAAAAAAAAAAGTACTAAATTGAAAACATATAGTGCTAGGAATCTCAAATCCAGGCTGTCCACCGTACTACCCACGAATCCACAGCCCAGATCATCGCATGAATGTAATGAATTCCCGATCCAGGCTTGTTGCATCCTATCGCGCCAATGGCCTTGATTGGCCACACAATCCTCCTCCCCCCCCCCCTTCCCCCTCCCCTTCCTCCTCCCCCCCCTCCAGACAACTTGTCGTGCTATTTATAACAAAACCCAATTGTCATTTTAACCAAACTTGCCTCCAATTCATGGAGTGGATGGAGACTATGCTAACTTAACCAGTTGTTCACAATCTTAAACTCTTAAGATCGCATGATGATCCGGGCCGTTGGCGTGGGGTACTAACGGGCCCGATTGGGCCCGTCGATCCAGGCTGTCGGTGTGGTTCTACCGGCTTCCATCTCGGCAATTGGGCCTGTCAATCCAGGCCGCTGGGGTGGTACTACTGGGCCCAATTGCCCGGGTGGAAGCTGAGGGCTAAGTACCATTACCGTCGATCACAAGGGTCAACAGTCAGAAAAGGGGGTAATCCAGGCAACCGGGACCTTGCCGCGAATCTTCCTACGGCGATAGGTCCTACTGCCGCAACCTCCAAAATCTTTCCCTGTCTGCATTGCCAGAAGCCCGCGACCCTCCGCAACCTTTGCCCAACTCCCTAACTGCGAGCAAAGTTGCTGCTGCAATGCTCGGTCGGAGCCCGCCACCCTCCGCAACCTTGTGCCACAACCCTCCGAAATCCTGCAGCGCTGCACGGGACCCCTTCCTCGGCCCGACTCCCTACCGTCTTCACCCGAAAATAACACCCGGGCGTTATATTTAACTGACCCTTGAAAAACAGATTTCTGTTGTTACTCACTTTTTTTTCTCCGAATAGAACGTATTCGAATAGAGCGCCTGGGCGTTATATTTAACTTGACCCTTAAAAAAACAGATTTATCATTTTTGTTGTTACTCACTTTTTTCCCCCGAATAGAACGTATTCAAATAGAGCGCCCGGGCGTTATATTTGAATGTTGTATGGGCAGAGTGCCTTGTAGAGGGAGTATACATGGGTTTTAAAGTGGGGGAAGGGGGGTATAGATGGTTTTTAAAAGGGGGGGTGAAAGGGGTTTTGACATCCAAGGGGTATGTTTTGGTTTGATTTTTGTGCTCTTCTTTTTTTATTTCCAATTCTGTAAGGAATACTGAATTGACGCTCAGCCAAAAGTTGGCTGCATTGCAATTCTAGACAACAATTTTATTTTATTTTTTAAGAATCTTTTGATTTTTTTTATTTTTTTTTTGAATTTTGGGGCCCCACTGAAGTTGCCACCAAGGGCGAGGTCCCACTAGCAACGGGAGAGGATCGAAACGAGTTTGTGGGGCACTTGAGTGACCCAAATCCTGCCGTGCAGTACTCGTGATCCCACGGTCAGTATTTTACGTGTATTACCCGAGAAAGTAAGGAGATCTTCCTTCCCCTCCTTCTCTCCTTAACACTGGGCATGCCCGTGCAAAGAAAGCTTCCTGCCAGAATCTTTTTCAATCGGTTGGGGGTGTGGCCAACCCCAAAGGAGGGTGGGGTTGGCCTTAGGCCCACTGGATAGAAGATTTTCAGTATTTTACTTGCTGTTGTGCAATTATCTCATTTGGTGGGTGGAGCCCTCCTTCAATCACGGAGTATATATATAATTTTAGTTTGTAGTGATGTGACAATATATATGGAGGGTGTCAGGATCAGTGCTGACAGAAGTCAAGTTGATTCCAGAAAATGTGGCGGTTACTTTGTTCACTGTTGTGGGGACCACCACCATCAGATCATTTGTGATCTGATGGCTGGGAAGCACTCTGCCGTGATTTCCGGTGGGAGGTCTCTGTTTCTTTTTTTTTTTTTGGACTTTTTCCTGTTTTCTCAGCCCAGAAATTCGTAGTGAACCTGTCCGGCCGCTGTCACTCAGTGTCACACTGGATCGGCCACACTCCTATCCGACTGCTAATGGGACCTCGCTCTCCCCAGGTGTTATAAACGGATATATAATGCCCGCTGGGCGATATATTCGTGTACAACGCCCGGGCGCTAGTTTCGGGTGAAGACGGTAGCTTTGCCACTGTACGGGGGCACGTCCCATGGTTTTGGAAAAGAGGAAATAAAATAAACATAAAAAAAAAAACAAAGCCTGTGCGTCGAATCTGTCGATTGAAAAATGCATCCTTTTTTTTTTTTTTTTTGAAGGCCTGTGCTCATGTGTTGTGTTACACCATTTTTCACCTTATGTGAAAGACGTCTTGCATTTTTTTATTATTATTTTTATTTTGTTTATGGTTTGCGGATTTGGCTTGTGTGCAGGATAGGCTGTCTTGTCTTCCCGTTCTTGGCACCGGCTCATCCCATGATGATCGGGATCGGGATGGTGCAAGTGTCGTATTGTTGGGAGGAAAAGAAACCGTCTCTACGACATCCTCTCATCGCCGCGGCCTAGTTGAACCGAAGGCCTTGTCGGTGCCCACGAATTACTATGGCGAAGAAATACCGAAGTCAGATGTTCTTGTTGGAGGTGTGACAAGCGCTGTCCAAGATTATAGGAGTCCGCCGGACTTGGATTACTTGCAGGTAATTTGAATTGTGTGCATTTGTATTTGCTGGATTTGCTGATTGCACACACATCCGCCATCGTGAGGTTGTGCTGCAACCCTGTCTCTCTCTCCGTTTCACAGTCTGTGCGCCTGTCTGTCCATCTTTCTGCCCTTTTGTTCGTCTGTATGACTGTTCTCTCTCTCTCTCTCTCTCTCTCTCTCTCTCTCTCTCTCTCTCTCTCTCTCTCTCTCTCCGTTTGCTAGGCCAACTGTTCATCCATCCGTTGTCGGTCGGTCGGTCCGTTGGTTTGTCGGTCGGTCGATCCGTTGGTTTGTTGGCCAGTCGATTTGTCCGTCTGGCTGTCTTCATGGAAAACTCAAAATTGAAAATTGGAAAATTTCTTCCTGTCATTCATCATATTGATCAATTGAAAATTTGAGATCAAAATGCAGGAAAAGTGCATCTGTCCTTTTTTTTGGTTCTTTTTTTCAATATAGAAAAGGGGTTCAAATTCAGAAATTCCTTTCTTTTTTCTTTTTTTTTTGAGAAAAGCCGTATGTGGTCCGCAATAGAGCATCCTTGAAAGCCTTGAAAACTGCTGGGCCATGTTTGACAACTATGGGAAAGACCTAAAAGTCTAAATAAAAGTCCATTTCCCAAAAAAAAAAGGAAAAAAAAAAAAAAAAGGCCCATTTCAGCAAAAGGCAGTTGATGAAATTTTCATGGAAAGAAAAAAGAATTGTGAACGAAAATAATGTGCTTGACACAGTGACACTGCTTGTATTCTTTAATAATTTTAATTGTTATTGTTAAGTTGGGATTACTTTTAAGTTTTTATTTTTTTTTATTTTTTTTTTCCCCTCCCCTAACGGATAGAGTCTTGGTTAGAAAAATCTGATGAAAGGGTCGCTCATGTTACATGCTGCGCGTGCACACGCAGGCCATTTTGCAGGCCTGCGTCTGTTCAGGCTAAAAGCCTGAACTTCAGGCCGAAATCCTGAAATCCAGGGCTTACAGGCCCCCTGTCGGTTCAGGCCGAAAGCCTGAAGTCCAGGGCCTGTCCCTGTGTCGTTTCAGACTAAAAATGGCAACAGCATTTTTAGCCTGAAACGAAGGGCCATTTTCGGTCGTTCATCAGAACGACCGGCCCTGAAACTCAGGCACCGAACCAGGGTTTCGGGAACAGACTATTAATAGTCTGTTTCCCACGCCAGCCTCAAGCAGGCTGCTGCACGCCAGCCCCTGGCACACTTCAGCATTGAGAAGAGCTGCCTCCTCGGCCTGACTCGCCCTTCAGTAGTCAGGAGGCAGGCCGAGGTAGTACATAGGACTTCCCAGGCACTTCCGAGGGAGGCAGTCGGCAGTTGTAGTCTTCAGGATTCGGGGGCAGCACTCTGGAGGGAGCGCTGCAGTGTAGTAGTAGTAGCGTTCGCTTGTAGTCTTCAGCGCTGGGCGCAGTAGGTAGCTGTAGTCTCCAGCGCTGGGCGCCATAGCTAGGTAGTACTAGAGAGAGAGAGAGAGAGCATGGGCGGAGGCCAGAGGTACCTACCTGCAGCGCCGTTGCTCCAGCTTCGTCTTCGAGGTACCTGCCACAGCGCCAACATCACAGGTTAGTATCTGGTTCGTAACAGAGAGAGAGAGAGAGTTCTTCTTCTTCTTCTTCTTCTCAGTCCACCATCTCTTCTCTCCCTCTCAACTTCTGACTTCACTGCATCTGCAGACTATGAGAGAAGAGATACAGAGCTTGGTGACATTTGACCCAGACTCAACTTTTGGGGGTTCAGATATGGCAACGAGGGACTATTTGGGATTGGTGACCAAGACTTGGTGTTAACGACATTCCCATCCTTCTCCCTCCTTTTCGTCTGATCCTTATCTCTTCATCTGTGTATGTCTGGACCTGGCGCTTTCTTCCTATGTACAGCGCCAGGCTCCTTCACACTTGGTGATGGATACCATGCATGTTTAGTCTGCGTTCAAACATTGATTGGGCTAGTTAGTAGTACTCTAGCATTCTGCTTCACTACTCTGAACTACTTGAATGAGGTCAGTCCTGTCAGGTCAGTCTTTGTATCAAAGTCTTCCCTGTGCTCTTCAGCACCTTCATGTATGAATGAGAATGTACATTGCTTGTCGAGATTCTACTCGTACCACATTGTCTATTCAGTCCTTTTCATCACATTGCAGATTCTCGGTTTATTGCATACATTGCATATCTGTGCATGTAACACTCACAGTCCCCTCCCTCTCTTTTGCAAAATTAATAATTATATATTTTTTTGATTTTGACATAATCATTTTCTCAATGTCGTAGATACTAAATATCTATATTGTAATAATAACAACATGCAGGAGCTTCTTGCTATCCAGCAGTCAGGACCGAAAACAATTGGTTTCTTTGGCACGCGCAACATGGGTTATATGCATCAACAGTTAATCGAAATTCTCAGTTATGCCATGGTGATTACGGTGAGTTAGCAGCAGCGCTCAAAGTTGCAGCTGCTGCTTTTTTTTTTCAATTTTTTTTTTTTTTCAATTATTTTTTTCAATTATTTTTTCATTTTTTTTTCATTTTTTTTTCAATTTGCTTTCAATTTTTTTCAATTTTGTTTTTCGATTTGTTTTTTCAATTTTGTTTTCAATTTTGTTTTCAATTTTGTTTTCAATTTTGTTTTCAATTTTTCAATTTTTTTTTGTTTTTTTAAATCTTCCCCCCCCCCCCCGAGAGTGCTGTGAAACGGTTTCACCCAGTGGACACGACAGCTGCAGACACTGAGATTCGACCCCTAGACCTATCCCTGAACCTTGTATAATGACCCTGTGTGCTGAGTGAGATTCGATCCCTATACCTATGCCTGTGCCCTGTACAATCACCCGGTGACTGTGTGAGATTCCAACCGTCGACCTGCCCTGTGTTATACGTTAGGCTGTAGCCTGTAGGAAGGGAAGTTAGGCTTGATCCCCAGGTCTGCAGGTTAGTAGGTTTGTACTTAAGTCTGTTACCATTAGTCTGTAGGTCTGTAGGTTAGTAGGTTTGTACTTAAGTCTGTTACTTAAGTCTGTTACCATAGTCTGTNTTTTTTTAAATCTTCCCCCCCCCCCCCCCGAGAGTGCTGTGAAACGGTTTCACCCAGTGGACACGACAGCTGCAGACACTGAGATTCGACCCCTAGACCTATCCCTGAACCTTGTATAATGACCCTGTGTGCTGAGTGAGATTCGATCCCTATACCTATGCCTGTGCCCTGTACAATCACCCGGTGACTGTGTGAGATTCCAACCGTCGACCTGCCCTGTGTTATACGTTAGGCTGTAGCCTGTAGGAAGGGAAGTTAGGCTTGATCCCCAGGTCTGCAGGTTAGTAGGTTTGTACTTAAGTCTGTTACCATTAGTCTGTAGGTCTGTAGGTTAGTAGGTTTGTACTTAAGTCTGTTACTTAAGTCTGTTACCATAGTCTGTAGGTCTGTAGGTTAGTGGGTTTGTACTTAAGTCTGTTACCATTAGTCTGTAGGTCTGTAGGTTAGTACTTAACCTACAGACCTACAGACCTAGGGCTGTACTTAAGTCTGTTACCATTAGCTTAGAAAGGGGGTCTGTTCTAGAAGTCTCTACTTACCCCTTTGACGGCCCAAGGGTCAGTCCGTAGGCTCTATAGGTTCCAGAAGAGTCTTTCTGAGTCAGCAAGTTACATGGCAGGGGCTGCACGTGGGGGAAGTTGCTGGCCACACAGTGTGCAGAAAGCTCCGCAAAAGCGTTCGCGTTTTGGCCCAGAGGGCCCAGACCATGAAGGCCTGGGCCCCATGCGTTTTGGCCCAGGCCCACGCGTTTTGACTCTTGAGGCAGGGCCCGGTCACCACCGAAGAAGTATAAATAAAGAGGCAGCGTCCAGCCGTTCATTCATTCGCCTGTGTGAGCCATGCGGAAGCGCTGCCTAGGTGACTTGTGCGTGGAGGTCTGCTGGTGCCCAAAGCTGAGGTGGGCAGTGAGGAAGACGGCGGCCATAGCTGTCCAGGAGGAAGACGATGGCAGCCATAGCCTCCCAGCTGATGTCACAGACAGACTGTACAGAGTGTGTGTGTCTGGTAGCGTGGACACTCAGGGTAGATCCTTGTTCATGTGTGCGTGAGGGAGAGTGAGGCTGGTGGTGGAGACTGTGTTCGGCGGCCATAGCCGATCCTTGTTCATGTGTGCATGATGGAGAGTGAGGCTGGTGGTGGAGACTGTGTTCGGCGGCCATAGCCGCAAGCTGTACAGTTGTCTTGAACTGAGTTTAAGTGCAAGTTCGTTTCATTCTGAGTTGACGAGTTTGGTTTGGCCATCAGTTCTCGTGTATGCATGTTGAAACTTGAAAGCAAGAGACTTAAGTCGAGTCTGATTGCAGCTGGTGCAGCTGCTACATTTTATGTTATTTTGTTTTTTTTGGTGGTGGTGGTGGGGAGGGGGGCGGCGGCAGGGGAAGGGGTGGAATTCTGTAGAATTTATTCCTCGATAATGGGCTCATTTGTGTGTTTTAAACTTTTTTATTATCCTGGAAAATGCACGCCCGGGGACCATGCCAATCTTCCTTCTGTGTAGCGATTCATGGATTGATTTCGTGCTGTCTGTTGCACATTTTTTGGGTGTGCATGTGCTTTTTTTTTTTCTTTTTTTTTTTCTTTTTTTTTTTTGTGTGTGTGTGTGTGTGTGTGTGTTTGTGTATGTTTGTCTCTGTGCAAATTGGCAGCGTTAAAGAGACTTAATGGGGAGAGAGAGAGAGAGAGAGAGAGAGAGAGAGAGAGAGAGAGAGAGAGAGTCTCTCTGGACACAATAGGCACACACACACACACACATTTTGCAGTGACGTGTTGACATGCCGATGGGCCGGTGCCTGGTGCGGTGGTACCCAACAGGACCACATCCGGGTCCCAGGTCCAGCCTACCTTACGTGGTCCTTTGCAGGGCCCAAAAAAGCTGACTAACTTTTAGGCTAAAGAAACTTGCCAGCCTGAGCTGGTTGGAGTTTCTTTTTTGCCATGAAAAAAGTTCCCACGGGCACATGGCTTAAATTTTCTCCTGTATTTTTCTTTTTCTTTTTCCGTAAATTTTGTCAGCTAACTGACAAAGCGTTTGTTTCCCCCCCAGAAAGCATTTGTTCCCCCCCCCCCCCGGGTCCCC